ATCTGGCTCTCAAGGAAGAGTTCCTTATCCATCTGATTTTTTGCTTCCTTGCCAAAGGAATTTGACACTTTTGTTGTCAACTACAACATACAGCCCGAGAAGTGGGACTTACAGAGGCTCATGGCTATGTGTGTGCAAGAGGAGGAGAGAATGAAAGCTGTCAATGGTGGCACTATCAATTATGTGAAAGACAATAAGAAAATGAATAATAATGCTAACTCCTCCTCAAAGTCAAAGGGAAAGGGTCCCATGCTGCATCAGCCTCAGCAGAACAAGTTCACAATAGAGAAAGACCAGTGTCTCTATTGCAAGAAAACGGGACATTATAAGAAAGATTGTCCCGATTACTTAAAGTTGATCATGGCAAAGAAAGGTGAGAACATTATTACGTTCATAAATGAATCCCTGTATGTACAGTATTCGAAATCTACTTGGTGGATTGACTCAGGTGCAACTGTTCATGTTGCTAATTCCTTACAGGGATTCTGTTCGACGAGGACTTCGCAAAGAAGAGAAAGACACGTTAAAGTTGCAAATGGAGTCCGAGCAGATGTTGAAGCCGTTGGCGATCTTTCTCTAGAGTTTGCTGATGGCTTCACACTTTTACTTAGAGATGTACTTTATGTTCCCTCTTTACAGAGAAACTTGATTAGTGTTTCATGCTTGGACAATGATGGATATGATTGCCATTTTGGAAATGGCAAATATAAGATAACATTTAATAATGCATGTGTTGGTCTTGCTATCTTATAAAATAAGCTTTATTTGTTATCACTACGTGATGATGTGAATGTTGTATGCGATGATGGGAACATTGCGTGCGACAATGAGAATGTATCCTCGTCTACGGATGTAAACAGAAAACGAAAGAGAGCTCACGATGCGTCGTCGAAATTATGGCACTGTCGTTTAGGCCATATTTCGAGGGGGAGAATACAAAGACTAGTTAAGAATGATATTCTTCCTCCATTAGAGTTCTTAGATTTAGAACAATGCAGAGAATGCATAAAAGAAAAGTATGTAAAGAAAATTAAGAAAGATGCCAAACGAAACGTAGGAATTTTACAGATTATTCACACAGACATCTGTGGTCCGTTTCCTGTAAAGAGTGTGGATGGTTATGATTCGTTCATAACATTCACAGATGATTACTCCCGTTATGGCTACATTTATCCAATCAAAGAAATAACAGAAGTATTGGATAAATTTAAGATATTTAAGGCAGAAGTTAAAAACCAACACAATTTAAAGATTAAGATAGTCAGGTCCGACCGTGGGGGGGGGAGTACTACGGTCAGCATACCCCATATGGCCAAGTTCCTTGACCTTTTGCAAGGTTCTTACAGGAGAATGGCATAGTAGCCCAGTATTCTACACCGGGCGAACCTCAGCAGAATGGAGTAGCTGAAAGACGCAATCGTACCCTGATGGATATGGTGCGCAGTATGATAAGTTACTCCACCTTACCGTTGAGCTTGTGGATGGAGGCGTTAAAAACCACCATTCATATTCTCAATAGAATACCAAGTAAGTCGGTGCCCAAAATACGTATGAGTTGTGGATAGGAAGAATACCCTCACTAAATCACTTGTGTGTGAGGGAGTTTTGCTGAGGCTAAAGTATTTAACCCAAACATTGGGAAGCTAGATCCCAAAATAGTAAGTTGCCATTTCATTGGCTACCCAGAAAAGTCAAAAGATTTTCGTTTCTACTGTCTAGACAGACATACAAAGTTTGTGGAAACGAGACATGCTGTCTTCCTAGAAGATGAAATGATGAGGGGGAGCATGGTAGCTCGAGAAATTGACCTTGAAGAGAAGTGGGTGTATGCGCCCACTCCGATGATTCATGAGCTATTTTTCTCACTACTTGTTGTCGCTGCACCGACAGTGCAAGATACTGTGGTGCCAGCACCTGTTGTTATTCCATCTATGGCAACAATGAATGACGATGAGGAACCTATTCTTCAGGATCCTATAGAACCTATTGCCACAAATGAAGGGGAGCAACAACAGCCTCAAACAGATGATGTGCCAAATGTGGAGGCCCCTAGAAGGTCTCAAAGAGTTAGAAAATCAGCTATTCCTACTGACTATGAAGTATACAACACTGAGGAATTTCAAATGGAGGATGATCCCACCTCATTTGAAGAAGCCATGAGAAGTGATCATTCATCAAAGTGGCTTGAGGCTATGGAAGATGAAATGAAATCTATGAATGCCAATAAAGTTTTGGACTTGGAAATAATTCCTAAAGGAGCCAAAACAGTAGGCTGTAAATGTGTCTACAAAACAAAACTTGACCCTCAAGGGAATATAGAGAGATATAAAGCGCGACTTGTGGCAAAAGCCTTTACGCAAAGAGAAGGGATTGATTACAATGAGACCTTTTCTCCAGTCTCATGTAAGGATTCCTTCAGAATCATAATGGCATTAGTGGCACATTACGATTTAGAATTACATCAGATGGATGTAAAGACGGCATTTCTCAACGGGAACTTGGAGGAAAATATTTACATGGCACAACCGAAAGGTTTTGTCATGGAAGGAAAAGAACAAATGTGATGACGCCTAAAGAAATCTATTTATGGATTAAAACAAGCTTCAAGACAGTGGTACTTGAAGTTTGATCAGACAATAAGGAATTTTGGGTTTAAAGAGAATGTAGAGGACAATTGTGTCTATGCAAAGTTTAAGAATGGGAAGTTTATCTTCCTTGTCCTGTATGTGGATGATATCTTACTTGCTAGTAGTGATGACAGTCTACTACTGGAGACAAAGAAGTTTTTGTCCTCAAAATTTGATATGAAAGATCTTGGTGAAGCTTCGTTCGTTCTAGGGATCCAGATTCACCGAGATAGAAGTAAAGGGGTATTAGGACTGTCACAAAAGGTATACATAGAAAAGATCTTAAAGAAATTCAATATGCACAAATGTAGTCCATCATCTGCTCCTATAGTCAAGGGCGACAGATATGGGGATTTTTAATGCCCTAGGAATCAGTATGAGATCGATCAAATGAAAACGGATCCATATGCTTCAGTTGTTGGAAGCTTGCAATATGCTCAAGTATGTACGCGCCCTGACTTGGCATTTGTTACCGGGTTACTTGGCAGATTCCAGAGCAATCCTAGAATAGAACACTGGAAATTTGTAAAGAAAGTCTTACGTTATTTGCAAGGAACGAAAAGCCTCATGATGACATATAGAAGATCAGATTCACTCCATATAGTGGGATATTCAGATTCTGATTATACGGGAGATGATAGAAAATCCACGTCTGGATATGTATTCACTCTCGCAAGGGGAGCTATTTCATGGAAAAGCTCAAAGCAAACCGTCACTACATCATCCATAATGTATGCCGAGTTTGTAGCGTGTTATGAGGCAACGGGGCAGGTGAACTGGCTAAAGAAGTTCATACCCGGTTTGAAGGTGGTTGACGACATCTATAGACCACTTAAGTTATACTACGATAATAATCTAGCAGTACAGTATGCTCACAACAATAAGTCAAGTGGTGCTGCCAAATACATTGACATAAAGTATTATGTTGTGAAAGATAAAGTTCGGGATCATGTCATAAGTCTTGAACATATAAGTACCGAAAAGATGCTCGAGGATCCGCTTACAAAAGGCTTACCACCCAACGTGTTCAGAGAACATGTAGCCGGTATGGGTTTAAGGGAAAGCCTATAATTCCTAGACAAAAGAAGGCCCAAAGTTAAGTATCTATTTCAGAAGAGAGTGGTGTGTTGTAGTTATTAAATCTATCGGCAATTGACCGTGGCGATGAAACATGCTCTATGCGCTAATATGTAATGGAATGAACAAAAGTAAATGATATGAAATTGAAAGATGGTAGGAGATCAATGGAGAGATTGTTAGATTGATCTCTAATCTTAAATTGGGCCTAACGACCTAGTTGGGCCTTTGATCCGCGCCCTGATCGGGGGCGCCCAGCCCACTATGGCTGGAGGGCCCCTTTCACACTACGCTATATATAGAGGTGGGGGCCGGCGGCTCTGAGTATGTGGTTTACCATGAGCCGAGCTCCCCACTGAAACCTAAACCCTAATCCCGATCAGAGAGGGGCGCAGCCAGTGACGGGAAGCCACCAGCTGCGCCGCCCCGCTCCACCGACGTCGATGACTTCATTGACCTCTTCCCCGAACGTCGCTGCCCGTGCGCAGGCTTAACCGACGAACGAGATGGCGGCTTCTGGACCATCTCCCTCTGCGGTGTCACGTTCGACACGTTCTTCTTGTATTCCTCTCTGTCTCTCTACTCTCGATATCGCATTCACAGTAAAGAGAACCCGCTAGACTAACCCTAGATGATCTTTTCGATCTCAACAAGATATTGGCACAAATTTGAGAAACTAAAATTCAACTATTTGAGCTAGCACACCCAGCTAAGGTTTTCCATCTCTTTTAGATTGAAAAAAATCTCTGCAGTCCAATCAGTAATCAATTACCTAGCCATGCACGTACTAGCAAACCGTATGAGATCTCAGATTAATTATCCAATTATAAGCTTATTATGATCAATTTCAGAAACCGTATCAGATCATAAAGTCAATCACAATCTAATGAACCTTTTCTACTTCAGTCTTCAGAAAACTCAACCAAAGGAGTCAGAGCAACTTATCGCCTGATCGTCGAGTCCAAATAAACAATCAGTTTGTGCTGGAGCTACTACCGAGAACAATGGTAGCGAAGCTTGGGCAAACAGGACAGGAGCATGGACTCTACTTTAACCACCTACGCAATAATCATTGTCACTTTGATCAGAGGTAAACCACTAAAAATATAACATGTGCATACGCAGTCTCTTCATAGCCATATAAAGCGTCTCATTCCAATACACAAAGTTGAATTTGACACGTAAAATTGAATCAAGAAATCTTAGAATTTGTACACGTACAATAGAATCAACACATCTCGATCGTCTGATCCACTCCTCCGGCCTCCTGTCATACCCAACGTACGCCGCGGTATCCTACATCGCCGCCGCGCCACCGCCGGCGCCCACGCCGTTCCCGCCACCGTGGCAACGACGACGCCGGCACTGCGGGGACTGCCCGAAGTTGTCGGCGGGGAACGCCTGCGAGAGCGGGCCGACGTAGAACATGAGGTGGGCCGCGTCCTCCATGACGACGTGGTCGATGCCCCAGTTGAAGAGGAACATGCGCACCGAGACGCCGCCGAGGTTCCGGATGCTGCCGCCCTCGACGTTGCCGTGGATCCTGCGCCGGTACGTGAGGCGGTAGCCGCCGTCCACCTCGAACTCGCAGTCCCCGCCCATGAACACCTCGAACGCGCCGTCCGACGGCCGGTACGTGTACCCGGTCACGCCCTCCGGCAGGATGCCCCGCGGGAACCCGAACCCCTCCAGCATCTCGTACGCGCTCGGCTGGGCTGGGGCCGCGACGTCGTCGTCGTCGTTACCCGAGCCAGGCCCGCCGCCGGCTGCGGTGCCGGTGGGGAGGAGCGTCGAGTCGATAGCCGAGACGGTGAGGAGGAGGAGCGAGAGCAGAGGCAGGAGGAGGACGAGGCGGCACGTGGTGGCCGTGGCCGTGGCCATGACGGTGGCTGGCTTGTGTTGATTCTTGGTTCTCGGAAGTCGTTGGACTCTCGAAGGTGGCTGATGACGACGAGTTTTATAAGGGATGGATGTTGTTGGGAGGAGTTGGGAATTTGGGATTGGAGTCGTAATAGGCTGGATTTTTTGGATTGAAGTTTGGGTTGATGGAGATCCGGAGGAGCTGTCGGGGTCGATGATACGACGATCCGGAGGAGCTGTCTTTGGTTTGGCGTGAGGGTATGGCCTGACTTCGGTTGTACGTTGGACACGGACAGCAAGATGATTGCGTGCTCGCACTGTAACGTTCACGGGCAACCAATATGCACGGGTTCATGTAACGATGGACTCGTCTCATTCACATCATCACATGTCCAAACAGAAGATTGGACAAATTAGATAACAATGTATGTTCTCCGTAACATGGCCAAAGAACCATATTTTCAGTAACATTGTCACAGTACGGGGATACTGGATGATAGTCCACAGTCCAGAAATATTTCATCCCAACAAATCATCTTTCCCATCAAATCAAACAACCATTGTTTTGTTTGGTGGGTGGTTTTTGATTGCTGGGTGGGGTATGGGTGGGGCTAGGGTTTAGGGTGTCATCATATATACAACACAAAAGGATTACACCCAAGCAGAACATTTATATCTGCCTCAAAGCCCTCCCGCTTTTCCGCGATACATATACCTACATATAATCTAGTCTTCTACGAGGCTCCTAACTAGCGTACCTAGTCATCATCTGTAGTGCGTCTGTGAGCAAGATGGCATCCTTGCTAGTTTGGCCTGCTCTCCAGACTCTGAAGTCCTTGGTGAAGAAGCCACTTTCCCACCACATGCGCAGGTGCTGCATTATAAATGGCCCTTGCTCCTCACCCTGAGGATCAATGTAATACCAAATGCACTGCGGGACTTCTCCATTCACCTTCTCGTGTCTATGGCCTCTGCTATTTGTCTCGTGTTGCACGGGATGGTTATCCCCGGCATCATCAGCTTCTAGATCAACAACTACTGCTGTTTTTTCTTCAAAAGCAACTACTGCTGTTTGTTCTCCTTTATCACAAGGATGATTGTCATCGTCGTTGTCGTCTTCAATGGTAATAACATCAGCAGCTGAAACAAGTCATGTTCAGCCAGATATAAGAATGAAGGGAGAAAAGGGATTAAAAACTCGAGAGGACAGAAATATCATGTTTTCAATCAACTAGCAGCAAAGCAGTGGAACAAACCTTTAGCACACTGCTTTTGAAGAAATGATCCAGGTGCATCACTGCCAGTGTTGGCTTTGGTAGCTTTGTGAAGTAGAAACAATGAAAAACATCAGATAGCTCAACATGGTGCATACATAAGAAAAAAAAAACAGCAGCGGAAAGAGGAAAGCTAATAAAAGACCATCCTCAGAAACTCATTGCAAGCAAACCTTCAATGCTCCTGCACTGAACATCTGTTCCAGTTTTATCACCATCAATGCTAGCTTTAGCACCTGCATCACACAAAACGAAGTGTAAATAAGAAAAGCATGCATTAGGGGTTTGTCCAAAATGCAAAGCAAAGTGGATGTGTAAATTTGCATGATTAGACATGCAGGGCTAGTATAAGAGAACCTTCATCATCCAGCTTTTGAACAGGTGAAATATCACCAGCATTATTAGCTTCAGTGGCAGCTTGGCCATGCAAATACTTTGGTAGCACAGGAGAAAATGCAACGGCAGCTATACAGGCAGAGGAAAGGTTACTAGATCAGTTGTTAGAAAACTAAGTTAAAAGACAGGTAATAAGAGAACCTTTAGTGCTCTGATTTGGAGTGTGTATTACAGCGGTACCACCATCAGTGTAGGCCGTAGTAACTGCATCAAAATAGTAACAGCAATGAAAACTAGCCAAATATCCACTTACTCCAGTTTTTAAATCCTACTAAAAGCAAACCATAAGCGTTGGTGGCTTGGTGGATTTGGAAGCATAGGAACAGTTTTGTCACTTTAGTGCAAGAGAGAACAGATGAGGGCAAAATGTGGTGTGTGGGTGGTCTGTTGGTCGCCTTTAGGAAAAAAATATATATAAAAGGAAACCGCGATGCAGGAATTCTAGAAAATTATACTTGCTAAGTCAATTTCTTTAACAGTTGTATTATTAGAGTGCCCATTAGACACCATTAAAATGTAATTGGTTAAAACCAGTAAATTTTCCACGTTGACAGGCTAGAATTTTCCAGTAATTCACTACGTGGTCTAATCTACACGCAAATATAAGGAAAATATTCATGTGTTGCGATTGTCAAGCCAGAAAAGTGGAAAGACTAAACTTGTACAAGCATTGTGTAGCTAAATTAGTTACAAACCAAATTGGCCCTTATAGTTCAATACAGTGTCTAATTCGAATGTCCTTAATACCACCCGAAATTAAGCTTTTCAAAGGCCACAGAACTTCAAAGAATCAAAGAAAATGTATCACCTTCAGTTTTTTCTTCCAATAAACTTTTCAAGGAAAGAGTTCTCTCGCCACCAGTACCTACAGAAAATTAGAGTGCTTACCTCTTCCATCCAAAATAATTGAGCACATTTTATATAACCTTTAAATTTTTCTTTTGAAGAAATATTCAAGCAAAGAGCACTCTTCCAATCAGTATATACACATAAAACACAATATTAACCTCATATAAATTTCAAACAGTCAAGTGCTGAATATACAAGTAAAGTGCAAAACCTTTGAATTTTTTTTCTGTGCAGTTCTTCAAACAAGGAGACCCTGTCCCATTGGTACCTACAAAAAAAAGAGCATCGCAATGTAAACACCTTGCATGAAAAAATTTTAACACAAAACTATAAAAGCAAATCCTTGTAATTTTCTTCTGAGCATCTTTTCAAAGAAACAATGCTCTCTCCATTGCTACCTGCAATATAATAAATGGTGTTTGCCTTCCATTCAAGAAAATGAAATTTCTAAAAAGAAGCCAATGAAATAAACAAGAGAACGCAAAAAAAAAAGAGCGACTCCTTTGTGACAATTCAATGTATCCAATTTTATGGCCAACTTTTACTCTGTTCATATTCAAAATAAATAATAGGAGGCAACCCTAGTGTAGGGAAGTTACATTAAATCACAAATCTAAGCAAAAGAAGAAAACATAACACAAAGGACATTGATGATGCAAAGAAAATTCAAGTGCTGCTAGAATTTATGTTCATATAATTTCTGGATGCTTTCGACATTACACAGACCCAATTCAGTAACAATTAGCAATAACAGAAATCTTAGGAGTGTCACCTTGTAAAGCGACAGTACTCTTTTGAATAGGTTTGTCTTGTCCTTTAACTTGAAATTCGGTATCTTTACTATCTTCCATCTCTGGAATAACTTGTGGGACCTCTTCAAGTAGGCGTTGTTGTTCAGATGGTTTTCGCAAGAGCTGTTTCTTATCAAGGTATTCAAACTTCGTAAAATGCAACCAGTTAAGGATACAACAGTACACAGCACAAAGTTCACTTGTGACTTTTGAGTCACAATCAACAGTCATAAAAATGAAAACAAGATAGATTACATATTAAAAGAGCTCATATAGCAAGGATATTCCTTGTGCCAACCTTTCTCACTTGCCCTGTCAATTAATCTTTCTAGCCTCTGGAGTTCTTTACTGATCCACTAAAAGGGAAAAATGACCACTCAGTTGTAATATCTTACAAACAAATCATTTTGTAAAATTAGAAGAGAACATCTATAGAAAAATGTCTGAGAACCAAAGTACAAATTTTAGTGCGATAGCCAAGTCATGAGAACTGAGATACAAACAGTGATTATTGACTAACCAAAAAAAGAAGTTTATCTCAAATCGAAATGAAAAAAAAAGTACAACATAATGTACAATGTCGATCTGATCTTGTAGCATACTTACATGACTCACTATGTCCCTACGTAAACTTCTTGCTTTCTCCTCAAGATCACCCTGTAAAATTCAGCAAGTTAAGACAACTAGAAGAACCTTATCTGATTATTTACCATGCCACGCCAATGACTCAATAAGTCAATATATTATGTTATGGTACTTAATATCGTCTACTTATATGTAACGCAATTTTCCCGCATTTTGGGAACTTGCATTGCCTGTCGTCCAACCCTTCTAGATACTCAATGTTTAAATTCTTACACTCCTGAACTGCTCATAGTTATAAGTTAGTCTTTGCACTTGATTATTCTTTAGTCAAATTAATCCCCAGATTAATTAAGCTCCAAACACGGAACAGCTCAAACAATCCAGTATGTTTACTTGTTTAGGTAACAACTAACAACCATGCAAAATACTATACAATATATATCAATCCGCTGTGTTAGTATTTATCTTTCCAACAACTAATTGGAAAAGAAACAGTTCCAAGTCAAACTAGTATATGAAGATTTTACAAAGTAATCATTTCAGTGGCTTGCATTATCATCTGCTACTGGGCCACCAGCATTTTTGTTAAAGGAAATATGAAGCAAGGGTAACTTACAACAGTAGGCCTTTTAAAGGATTCATTCTTGGCCAGCAGCCGAAGATCTTGACATTCTTCCTGTTATAATAAACAATAGAATGTTTTGCTCAACATCATGCATGCAAGGAAAAAATATGTAAGTGATACAGGGAGGAAACTATTATTCTAAATGAGAAATAATAACAAATGCAGTTTCATAGTACACATATTTACTTTTTAAAAATAAACATATTTTCCCAAAAGAAAATGTAGCATGTAGTATGAATCTCTGTTCCTAACACAGCCTGCCATCAATAGCTGCTGGAACACACCAAGGCACAGTAAATCATACCTCATCGAATTCGTCATCTGACAAACTCGAAATTTTGACATCAGGTATGCTGGAAATACATAAAATAACATCTGTCGATACGTTGTTTATCTTGTATTCTTCAGAGGATTTCCTTGTGCCTGTTTGCATATCTTACATGAGCAGATAGCAAGCAAATATCTGGTTGCTAAAAGCTAGAGCATATGGATGACTAATAT